CGGGACCCTTCAGAGGCTAAGAGGGAGGACTTGGATGCACTGTTTGTACTGTTGGTTTTCCTTCCGACCTGTGAAAGACGACCCCATGGCTGTCACTTGTCCATGTTTGCATGTCTGTGTCCAGATTCCTCGTGTGTGTGTGTGTGTGTGTGTGTGTGTGTGTGTGTGTGTGTGTGTTGGAGGACAGCCATGGATGTGTGTTCTTCAGGTGCTGACGCCTTCCCCTCCCTCCCTCTCTCCCCCTCCCCCTCCCTTCCCCTCCCCCTCCCTCCCCCTCCCTCCCTCCCTCCCTCCCTCCCTCCCTTCCTTCCTTCCTTCTTTCCTTCCTTCCTACCTTCTTTTTCTTAAGATAGGGTATCTCAGTGTCCTGGGAGTTGCTAACTGGGCCAGTTCGGGCTGGCCTTTGAGCCCCAAGAATCTACTGTCTCCACTTCCTTAGAGCTGAGATTACCTGCATTGCACTGTGCTCAGCTTGTTTTGTGTAGGTTCTGGGGATTGAACTTGGGTCCTCATCTTTCAAGGCAAGTGCTTTACTGACTGAGCCACAGCTCCCAGCCCCTTCAAAACCCTCATTATACTGGCATCGGGATCCTTCTTCTCTAATATGAGCTCATCTTAACATATCTGCATTCATGTTTTATACCTGCAATGTCACATTCTGAGATTCTTGGGGCTAGAATTTCAGCATATGAATCACGGGGTGGGGGGCAATGTCCACGTGTAACAGCATGGGATGTCCACTTCATGCCAGTGACATTGAGCAGAAAACATGAATTTAGCATGCAAACAAATCATTCAGACCCCTGAGGGAATGGCATCCCAGAAGGAGGGATCAGCACACGGGGTCTGAGATGGATGCAGCTAAGCACAGTGAAGGAACAGAGAAGATGGAATTGATGGCCAGAGGTGACTCAGCCGCGGACATTCACACCTACCCATCACATTTGCAACACGGAGTGTGTGAGGAGGGGGTGCTCTTGTTTAGCTTAGGGGAGATATAAAAGTCAGACGTTCATTCCTAACAGAAAGTCTGAGACGGCACTAGCGTCCTTATGTGGTAGAGCCTTGGCTGGGGAACAGCCGTTTGCAGCAAGTCCACAGTGCTGGCTGAAGCATGTCCTTTGCTGGGGAGGGCGTGGATGCTTGCCTTTGTGTCACACTGCAGCTAAAGCAAGAAGGAACGGACTTGAGGGACACAGCTGTCTCAATTACTTCTGTTACCGTGAAGTGCCCTTACAAAAGCGCGGTAAGGGACAAGAGGCTTATTTGATTCACAGTGTCAGAGAGTTATAGACTGTCACAGCAGCAGGAGCTTGGAGAAGCAGGTCCCCTCACATCTTCCATCAGGAAGCAGAGAGGGTGCCCCTTTCTCCTTTTATACAGTCCCCGAGTCCAGCCCATGGCATCTACAACCATGCTAGAGGCCAGGTGTTTCTAGGTCTCATCAGATTGACAAATGAGATTGGCCATCACAGTACTCATCATTGTTTCGGGTTTCTGCATATCCCCAAATGATGGGGTGTTTTCAAACCATAAGCACCTTCTCAGCCATTTTATTCACTTATACATACACTCGTGGGCCCTGGTCATGGCTGCAGGGGCCAGCCAGCTGTGCGGGTGCGGTTTGGACATTGCAGCCACTGTCCAGACATTCTACATCCCCTTTTACCAGTGTAGACTGTGTGTGGCTGCTGCCGGTGCTCTTTTTCCGAGTGTTCGGTGAACAATTTTACCTCAGTGCCCAACTCAGCACGCATACTCGCATTGGATCTCTGTGCCACGCCCCTGACTTGTCCAGAGTCCCCATTCCTGATCCCTGAACCCACCTCTAAACACCAATGACTTGCGCCCAGCACATGTCCATGCTGTGGATTGAGGGAACCCTGATTAGAAGACGCAGAAGCTCCAGATAGAAGGGCAGGGCAGGGCAGGGCTCCAGGGACAGCCAACCGCTGCCTCTCAGCTGCACTGTGAAGTCTGCTTTGCTGATGTTGAGTGCAGGATCTGGGGGTGAGACTTGGTCTTTTCTGCAGTGCGGTGGAGCACCGGGTGGATGAAGATGGGGCTTCAGGGTGAAGCCTGTGTGTTCTGTGTGTTTATGGTGGGGGTCACAGTTCCGTGTCATGAGCAAGAAGTGAAAAGTGACCTCCGCAACAGTAGTGCTATGGTGCATGCAGCTGGCTGGCTTTCATCAGTGGTTTTCAAAGCCCCACAAACAACAAACCCTGACATTCTGTGACTGCATGAAAGCCTTCCTGCTGCGGCGAGGCTCTTCCGTCCCCCCAGTATGAGGCAGCTGCTGACAGAAGCCTGCTCCGGCATTATCCATAACTTCAAGTGATGTTTTACCTCCTCAGGGTTACTCAGCAACTTCATAACCTGTTAAAGAAAAACTGCTGCTCCCACCACTTCCGACGGCAAAGGTGGGTGTTTCCACGCCAGCCCCACACGCTGTGAAGCGAGGGTTGCTATTTAATTCTGACACTGGGCCCGAAAGTGCTGAGCTCATAAGCTGGGGACCCAGCCCCACAGCATTGCCTCCAGTACAGAACCAGTGACAAGCCCGAGCTCCCCACACCCACAGACACAGTCTCAAGGCCCGTGGAGCTCAGGGCTGAACTCTCCATGTGCTTACATGCTTGTGATACAGGAGACTCATGCAGAGGGTGAGGTCTGGGAGGGGCCTTATTGCAGGGGATTCAGTCCTACGCACAGATGTCGGGGTGTCCTGCCTTCCCTACAACAGCCCAGAAGTTCTCCAAATTCCTTTGGATAAGATTTTTTATGAAGGACCTATTACATAGCCTTGATTAAAAAGTCAGTGGCCACTGACATGGCTCGGTCCCTATCCTTTTAACCACCCTGAGCCTCAACATGGGGCTGGGATGCCCAACCTACTCACAGATGGTCCCTCGAGCAACCAGCCCCTCCCCAGCCAGTCAACACATGAATGCAAGCTCAAGTATGCATGAAGGGAGAGTTGCGTTTGATACAAGGCTCTGTTCACTGCCCTTAGAAATCTCCAGGGCTCGGACTCTCTTGTGAACCAGGTGAAGTTCAAATGAAAATTTGTTTCACATGTCTACTTATACATTTTAGTTACAGTTGTGTTTCAGGAAGTCTGCCAGGAGAGACATAAACTGTCTACCCCTTCCCTATAGGACGCTAACAACAAACTAAAGGATTCCACCGAAGTCCAACTTGGGGAACCAGTATGTTCCTTTGGTTGGTTCACAGAGCCCAGGTGAGGGTGGGCGACCCTAAAGGAGCCACGCCAGCATGGATGACAGTTTCCCCACGGATGCAGGCATGGGGTCCCCCTGCCTTCTGTTAACCTTCCACACACTATCTACTGAAGCATCTCCTAAGACCACAGGTCATGTGTAAGAACGTACATCCCACTGAGAGGCACAGGAAGCGGGTGGCTGCCATCTTGAGAGACCTTAGTGAGTGGCCACTGGTGCTGGGATGAAGATGATGGTTGTGATGCTCCAGGGTGGTTGGGGACTGTGGGTAACTCGTGGTGGATGCTTCTTTGGCTATAGCGATGAACCCTGCAAATGTTGGAAACATGCTCCAAGCCCCCTAAACGCCAGCTTCCAGACCCCTTCTAGGCAAAGAGCCCCAGACAGATGTCATGGTGTTATGCCCGTCAGTTTACATACTAAAACAAAAACTTGAATTTTCACTTTCAGTGTCCTTGATAGAATCTTTCTCAAATTAGTCTCCTATGGATTCCTGTTACTGCTTTTATTTCTTCAGACAAAAACGTCGTTTTGTTATTTTGTGCTAGATAATGCCAGCATCACAGATTTGGGGTGTGATCGTGCTGGCTGGGGTTTCCTTGCCTGTTTTGTGACATCTGAGGCTGTGCATTGCTCCGTGTTCCTTCAGAAGTCACCTGCAGGGAGCTGCCGACCCTAGATGGATAGGGCGTGAATGCTTGGTTACTTATTTTTTCGTTAGTTTCTACTTTTGCTCACTTGCTGTTCCACAGTGCCTGGGAAGACCTCTCTTTTTGCAAATCACTGTATGTTGAGAATGCTTCTGACTTATAGAAAAGCACATTCCTCTGGCGGGTCACTTCAGCTTTGCTAGAGCTGTGCAGGCCGCCAAGGCAGCTGTTTCTGCAGGAGGCAGAAGGGAATTCCTTCAGGGAAACAATATGCCAGAACTGAGGCCCAGCCTTTCTCCTCAGCAGCCAGTGAGTGAGTGGCCAGGGCAAGAGGGGATCTGAGGAGGTGGCCGTGGGCTTTGTACCCAGGTTCTACTTGCTCTTGGGTGAATTCTCATTCCCCCAAAGGGGCACGGTTGTATGGATGACAAGTTACCAGGTCACTGCAGTCTTAGGCCTAGGCGAGGAGTCTTCACCAGGATGGGAAACCTCGGTGGGTGAGGTTGTGTGGTTTACATTGTACAGAGTTCGGGGAGAAGGGACCAGGGAGAGCGATCACAGCGTCCAGGAGAATGCTGAGACCCTCTCTGGCAGGCTTCTCCTCCCTCTGCCCTTGAGGTCGGGGTCTTGCCGAGCTGGCGGGGCCAGCGGTATTGAGCAGGGTGACCTTGAATGGGCACGTCTGCCTCTGGAATGCTGCGGAAATCCCTGACTTTCCTGGGTTGGCCAGGAAGGGATCGGGTTACGTTCTGGTCTGTCTACCGAGGGGCTCCCTCATCCTCAGAGCCGGCCTAGGACTGACTGAGGGGCCCCGGCTGGTCTTCGGGCAGGGAGAGGGAGGGAAGCCGAGCAGGGCCGGGAAGCTCCCGGGGAGCCAGGGGAGAGAGGCGGCCGGGAGGGAGACGGGGCTGGCGGGGCCGGCCGCAGCCCGGGGCGCAGCGCGGGGTGGTGGAGGCGGGAGCAGCGCGCGAGGCCGGGGCTGAGCCCGTGACCCCCGGCGGCGGCAGGGCGGCGGGGGGGGGTGTCCCCTGCCGGGCGCCCCGGGGACGCGCGCGCGCCCTCGGCCTCGCGCCCCGCCCTCGCGCCCTCCCCGCGCCGCCTCCCAGCGCCATTCCCGAGTGCCCTCGTCCCGGCCATGGAGGGTCTGGTGCTGCGGCCCGCCAAGGGCTACCGGGTAGTGCTGCTGGGCAGCGTGGCGGTGGGCAAGACGGCTCTGGCCACGCAGTTCGCGTGCGGCCGCTTCCCCGAGCGCTGCGAGCCGTCGGTGGAGGAGCTGTTCAGCAAGGTGATCGAGGTGAACCGGGCTCCCGCGCTGCTGGAGATCGTGGACACCGTGGGCGCCGAGCACCTGGTCACCCTCAAGGACCTGTACATCAGGAACAGCGACGGCTTCGTGGTGCTCTACAGCGTGTGCAACGAGGCCTCGTTCCAGGCCGTGCGGCCGCTGCGCGAGCGCATGGGCCGGCTGCGGGGCTCGCGCGCCGTCCCGCTGGTGTTGGTGGGCACCAAGGCCGACCTGGACGCCGAGCGCCAGGTACTGACGGCTCAGGGCCGCGCGCTGGCCCGAGAGTGGCGGTGCCCGTTCCTGGAGGTCACGGCCAAGAGCAAGATGCTGGTGGACCGCGTGTTCACGCAGGTGGTGCGCGAGATCGAGGCCCTGGCGCCGCCGGCGCAGGAGGCTCCCCGCATCCCCGCCAACGCCCTGGAGACGTGGCCTGCAGAGAGGTTCATTGGCTAGCGCGGCGCGGCCCGTTCAGCGCCTTCTCCCAGAAAGTTGGCGAACCGTAAACAAGTGGCTGCTTCTATAGGATCACCCCAAACGGTGCTGCAGTCTGCCTACGTGTCTGTCTTCAGTGTCTGGCAAAAAAAACTTTGCAAGCCACCCGCCCTGCCCGTTGACCTCCAACTGTGCTATAAGAAGAAACCAAAAATTGCATTTTTTTTTTCTTTTTTCTGTGAAGAGACTTTACAGCCCTGTTTCTTCCATCAGCTTGTTTCTGGACTTCCCTACCCCCCACCCCATCCCACCCCCGTCTAATTTTTGTGAATAGCAACTTGTGAGCTTTGGATTGGTTGGGGAATCTGCACTAAAGACAAGTTTTCTTCAGTTTCAGGAGGGTTTTCTCCTTCCTTTTAACAGCTTTGAATCCAACAGTAAGATTTTCCTCAACACGAATTCCTAAATATAGTTGTGACTTATGCTGGGTTGGTTTGAAAGGGGATACTCTACGGGGACAACTGTGCACACACACAGAGATAGCTCAGCCCTACCTTGTAATTGACAGTTGCTTTCTACATCCCCGCGTTGGAAATAAAATTAGAAGTTGGTAATTTTAACATGTGTCTATGTAACTTATATGTAACCTATATATCATTCCCAAAGCTTTATCTTTCACGTTTTATTTCTATTGTGTGTGTGATGCTAGTACATGTGTTTGGACACATCTGTGTTAGGGGACAGCCAGGCTTTGGCCCTCCCATTCTCCCTTGTTTGAGACAGGATGTCTTTGTTGTTGTTGTTGTTGTGCACTGACTTCTGGGTTTTTCTGTCTCCTCGGCATATCTTGTGAAAGGAGTACTGGAATTACAGTAGAGGCTGGGATTTGAACTCAGGTCCTCAGGCCCTTCTTTGAGACAGGGTTTCTCTGTGTAACATCTCTGGCTGTCCTGGAACTCGCTCTGTAGACCAGGCTGGTCTTGAACTCACAGAGATCTACCTGCCTCTGCCTCCCTAGTGCTAGGGTTAAAGGTGTATACCACCACCTGGTAACAGGAGCACTTAAAAATGCAGCTGTTTAGTAGTGTTGGGTGTTTAAAACTGACCTTTGAAATGTTCATGTGACAAGGAGTTCCTAAGCTGCAACATAGTTTTAAATTTAGGGGCCTCTCCCATGTAAGAAACCTGAAACAAACCAGGAAGTTCTAGCCTTCCTGTGACCTGAAAGAGTTAACATTGTTAAGGAAAGTTGGTTGAACAGTCATGTGACAGGATGGGCTCACTTTTATTTATATGACATGTGATACTTTTCCTTAATGTAAAGACCATGTTTCAGAACCCATCTCCAGCTTCACCGAGAGAGGGGGATGGCTAGGCTGTCCTGTCTTCCCCCCTCTCCCCTCCTGAGACAGGTTGGCTCAGGGTATTCCCTTTACAAACCTTAGAACCCATTGCATGCACGCGTATACACACATGCACACACACACATGCATGCTTGCACACATGCACACACGCATGTGCACACATACACATTCATGCTTGCACGCGCACACACACACACACACATCCCTTGCTGGCCCTCCTGCCAGACCTCAACCATCTCTCTAAGGCCCTGTTTGGAGAAGAGGAGGAGCATGTGGGAACAGGGGAGTACTTCTCTGCCTCAGCATTGTATGAAAGCCAGCCCTGCTTGGGTAGCAGAGGGAATATAAAGACCCTCCATGCTCTGGATAGGGACTCCACAGAGAAGGCAGTCTGGGGGATTGGCCCCAGAACTGGAAGCCGGGTGTACACTTGCAGCTCTCCATCAGCTAGTGCTCAGGCCTTCAAAAATTGCTTGTATGTTCCTGGGTCCCAGTCCTTATAAATATCAGGCCTTGATCCACGGAAGTGTTCCCAGCCAGCCATTTCTGCCTTTGGACTTCTGGGATGACCTCAGATACCCCCAGTCAGATCCAAGTTTCCAGTCAAGAGTCCAGGGCTCTTCCTGGCTGGTGGATCCGAATGAAGGAGCAGAATGTGAGGCCAACTCCTCCACCCTCAGGAGTATGCTCAGGAGCAAGGAGGAAGCAGCTTTCTGGGACACACACACACACACACACACACACACACACACACAAATAAATACACACACATATATGATTATACACACACACAGTTAAAAGACATACACACAGGATTTTCCTTCATATATTTTTAACATCTGTAAGTCAGACATAAGTTGCCTCTGTCCCTTTGGTGGCAGGGGGCCTAAATGACCCCAGAGTGGATTTGCAAGGGACTGCCAGGGTGCTCCGCCCTTGCAGGCACAGTTTCCAGGCCAGGCATCTCAGGCTGGTGTGAGATGACCTTCCAAGGTCTTGACCCTGTGGCCTTGCCCTGTGCAACTAAGTGGCCAGATGTCAAACTGAGGAGTGGAGAGAGGCAAGAGGGGGCAGAGAGTGTCCCAGCCCCTCCCCGGGCTCAGGCAGAGCTGTTTCTGGACAGCACACTTCGATTTCTCTGTGTGTGATTAGGGGCTACTGTGGTGTAGACAATTCTTTCCAGGGCTTAAAATGACATCACTCCTCTACTGAGAAATACACACTCTCTCTCTCCAGTCTTACAATGCATAGCCTGCCTGGGCAACTACCTCATAGTAACACGGGGGTCTCGATGTCGTCTTGTGGCCGAGAGGTTTCTGAGATACCCTAGTGACACCCACTTCCCAGTGTTTATTCCCAGTGGTGACCTCAGCCCTCAAAGCTGCTCTGCCCTATTAGGGCTCTTTATTTCAGAAGCATAGTGTGACCTGAGCGATGGGAATGCCACTTTCAAAATCACATCACAAAGGGGTCAACCTCTGCCACACTTGCCTCCTTGAAAGACACACAGGTGTGGTGATATGTCATTTATGATTTAATAAAGATTGGCTGAAGTATCAGAATGCAAAGCCAGCCACACTAGTTAGCTATAGAAGCTGGGCAGTGGTGGTACACACCTTTAATCCTGGGACTCAGGAGACAGAGGGAGATGGATCACTGTTGGTTAGTTCAAGGCCACACTGAGTTAGGAGAAATTGATTCAGTCTAAAGGAGAAACAGCTTGCACAGAGGAGATCTCAGCTCTTGGGATCCTGTGCCTTTAATCCCAGGGTTTGAGAGGTATACAAGAGGTGAGTCTCAGAGCATTTGGTCTCCAGCCGTGCTGAAGAGGGCAGTGCAGTCTCGATTGCAGTCTGGGGTTCAGTGGATCGACCCTTTCAGCCTGCCCTAGAGGAAAGAGCTGGTGGCCGGCTGCTTTGCTTTTCCGATCTTCAGCTTGAAGCTCGAACCTCAATGTATGTCTCTGCAACTTTTATTATTCGTGCTACACATATATGCAGTACCAGGCCCTGTGGACACAGCAAGAAACTGATGTCTTCAGCCAGCAGCAGCCTCTCAGGCTAGGCTGGAAGCGGGCCCTTCCCAGGGGAACGTGAAGATGATAGTGTCCCGATGACAGCCCAGACACACAAAATGAATTCGATGAGAAGCAGCACAGAGGACCCAGCTCAGTAGTCCAGGCTTCCAACCCCCAGAACACAGAGAACCCACACTTGGCTGTTCCTAGCCCTGAGCTTGAGGCAGTTTTGCTTTTGTTTGTTTGTTTGTTTTTCCCTTTCGCATCACTAGATACCCAACATAGCGATGCGGCTAGACAGGGTGCCGAGTGCAAACCTCTAAAATGTAGGCACTCGGCACTCTGAGGAGTGTGGTAGCCAAACGTAAAAGCTCCGTGACTGGCCACCATGAGACAGAGGGACTTCGGGACACTGGGTGTGGGAGACGGTTCAGAAGGAAGTGGATGGATTGTTACTGGGAGTTGCAGAATAACGCATAGCTTAGCCCTGTGGCTACCCAATGGTAAGCAGAAAGTGGCCAGCTGCAGCCCATGGCCTGGCAAGGTTTCCCAGCAGACGGCTGAAGTGGCTGCTTGGTTTTATTTTGCTGTGAAGAAAGAGAGAAATAAGAAGACTGTAAAAGGAGATTTTCTCTGTCAGGTCCCGCTCTGTCAGGATCTGCTCTCATCAGGTCCCGAAGCTGCTTAATGAAATAACCCCTCGGAGGCTTAATATATATTTATTGGCCATTGGCTTAGGCTTCTTAGTTGGTAACCCGTTTCTATTAGTCTGTGCACTCCATGTAGCCTTGGCTCATCAGTGATGCCCGGGTCTCTTCACTCTCCGGCTGCTACATGGCATCAGCCATCTGTCTTTCTTCTTCCTGCCTCTCTGTTCGGAATTCCCGCCGAGCCAAATTCTGCCTGTCCAATGGCTGAAACAGCTTTGTTCATCAACCGATATATAGTCACAGCACACGGAAGGACGTCCCCACAAGGACGCTACACAGAAAGGACAGATTCTTCAAGTTATCCCACTGACCTCCGCATGTGTAGCTGGCACACGCTTCTAGTATGACTCTGGCGGCCTGGAGTCTCACTCTAACTACGCCCTTTCTTTAGTCGACACTGGCGAGCTCCATGCTGACAGGATTCTCCAAGAATCTTCGTGGGCCTCTGTGCTTTGGGGCCAACCCATTAAAGAGAAGCCACTCCTAAAACTCTTTGAGAATAGCCTTCCTCTCCTTTGTCTTCTGTAGGTGTGTTGGGGTCTGGTGTCCCCCGGCTTCCTACCGGCCCTATTGATTGTGTGTGCTGGCTCTCAAAAGGACCGTTACATTTTTGATTAATTTATTTTTTACATTCCAATCCCAGTTCCCCCTCTGCTCCCTCCACACCCCTCCCCTCTGCTCCTCCAAGAGGGTAGGGCCTCCCCTAGGAAGTCTACTAATTCTGTCCCATCATTTCATTGAGGCGGGACCAAGGCCCCTCTCCACCCCCCTCACCCCTGTGTCTAGGCCGGACAAGGTGTCTCTCCACATAGAATGGGCTCCACTGAGTCAGTCTGTGCATTAGTGTTAGATCTTGGACCACTGCCAGTGACCTCATATACCGTCCCAGTCACACCTTTTTGTCCCCCATTTGTCAGACCTGAGTCAGTGATCTCGAAGGACTGTTACATTTAAAAAATATCCCTTAACATGTATATTTTTAAAGGTTAATGTCTTTTATGTGTACAGATGTTTTGCCTGCTTGTGTGACTGAGCACTGAGTGCATTGCTCTTGGGGACCAGAAGGAGGCATCAGATCACCTAGGACTATGAGCCACCAGGAGGAGGCTGGGAATCAAACTTGGGTCTTAGGCAAGAGCAGCCAGTGCAATTGGCTCTGCCACACCTCACCCTCCCTATTTAGTTTTTGCATGCATTTGTATATGTATTTGTCATGGTATGCATGTGGAGGTCAGAGGACAACTTGTAGGAGTTGGCTCTCTCTTTCTACCACAAGAGAACCGGGGATGAACCCGGGCAGGCTTGGCGACAGGCATGATCTTTTGTGTGACTGAGAACTTGCTGCTCCAGTCTAGCCGCTGTGTAGAGGTAGAGGAAGGAAGAGCCAGATAAGCCATCTCAGAGTTCCATGGGTCTGCAGACTACAGGACCCTGCACCGGACACATGCGTGGGGAACCATGCACACTCAGCTTACAGTTTTGTTTCCAGGCCACGGCACATTCAGTCGGCTCTGCCTGGGCTTCTGGAG